ATGTGGAGAAGAACACCGTAGCAATCTATGCAAGTTAAAAAAAGAAGAAGATCCCACCTGTCTATTCTGTAAAGAAAAACATGTAAGCAGTTACCGTGGATGTATTGAATATAAAAAGAAGTTCGAGAAGGTAGAAAGAAAAAATTTTCTCCCTAAATCTAAAGACTACAAAGTAAGCGCTGATGATTTCCCAAAGCTAACAACGGAGAGCAGAAGAGTTAATACACGAACTGAAACTCCGCTTTATAGTGAAAAAGTTAAGGGCAAAATTAAGGAAATACCGAAAGAAATTAATGAAGCAATGCAATGGTTACAAGACGCAAAAATCCAAGATTTTATCAGCAACATTATCAAACATATGGACAAATATAAAGAAAGCAAAAAACACTAGCGAAAAATTTGCCGCCGGTTTTCGAGCAGCGATGTATATCATGAAGATCGCCGAAGAGGACAATTAGTAGGATTAATTTAAAAAGAAGGAATAAATGGAATCATCCTATCCGAGTGTGGTATAAAGCCAAATACTTTATCATACCATAGGGCTCCTAAAGAGCTCCATCAGATGGTTTTTTAGAAGGATAGTGGCGTGCATTTTGCAATGGCTAAGTGAAGGCATAAAGTTGAAAACAATGATGAAATGGCTAAAGTTGGCATATTATTTGAATTGGCATAATTAGAGACTATGGCATAAATGAAGACTTGATTGTATAAGCAATAATGGCAGTTTGAATTTATGGCATAGAGATGCGATGCGGCGTGCGTGCTTCCCTCTTGGAAGTTCGTGGCTGAATGATGTGGCTTAAATGCTTAAATGCTAATTGCTTATGCTTATATTAGCCCAGTTGGGCTTTAATAAGCTATATTGATCTAATCCCCTAAGGACAATCAGAATGTCAACTATCAGCTAGTTCCCAGCCAGGAAATCGGAGCGGGTAAGGAAAAGAGGACCCATCGGCCATAGTGACAAAGTCCAATCATCAAAGTAACTTAACTCTTACCCTGAGACAAGAGTAATAATCACGTGTATGGAGCTATGAAGATGCAAAAGAAATGAAAATACATGAAATGTGCATAGGATACAGTGTTGAACATGTAATAAACAAATGAAAGTGAAGTAATGTACGCATAAAAATGTGTTATTTACATATTTGAAAACGAGTGGGCTAAGTGACAAAATTGTGATCCCTCATTCTGTGAGCCGTAAAAGGCCTGATATTGTAGTCCTCAGGAATGCAGACATAGTTCAGTACAGCATTAAAGTTTCCTTTACTGCAATTCAAGCCTTGTCAAAAGAACTTGCTGTTAAGTTTTTGCAGATATTTGTCAATATATTCAACTTGTAAATCATCGTGCAGGAGTTTGTTACGGATGTAAAAATGCGCTCCTGTCATGGTGCGTAAGATTGTGTTTTGAGTCACCTGCAATTTGTTGATATCTGAGCTCGTAGCAGTCGCCCAGACAGGGGACGCATAACACATAATTGGTCTTAAAATGGAAATATAAATTTGTTTTTTCTTCTCAGATCTAACTGCGAGCTGCGCCCTAGCAGTACTTGTAATTGTTGAGCAATTCCTCTGGTCTTGTTTGCAATGTAATTGACATGCGTACTCCACGTGAGTCTTCGATTCAAGTAAACACCTAAATACTTGGCCTTGTTTACCATCGGGACACGTTGGCCGAATAGGTAAAGTGGCTGAACTGAGACCAGTATTTTCTTCCTTCTAACAAGAAGTAGCTGTGATTTAGTCGCATTGATGGAAATCTTCCACCTGGAGCACCACTCCTCAATGTCCATAATTATATCCCGCATAACAGAAATTGCCCTGTTAGGCTGAATAGATCTGACCGCTACAGCAGTGTCATCCGCATAGCAGGCCAGCAAAGTATTTCTGTTGAGTTTATCCCGCGGGAAATCAGCCGCATAGAAAAGATAGAGTACTGGGCCAAGACAGGACCCCTGGGGACGCCTGCAGCGATAGTTTGTATCCAGAATGACTTTGCTTGCAGCTAACTGTAAAGTAACGATTTGCAATATAAGATCTGGTGAGTAAGATCAGTTCTCTAGGCAAATTCATCATTATCAATTTATATATTAAGCCCTCATGCCAGACACGGTCAAATGCTTTGGCCACGTCCAGCATGAGCACTGCAGACAAACTTATGATGCAGAGCACAGCCGATAAATTCCACAAGCCTAATCAGTTTAGAGTGCAAAGTTCGTCCTAAATCCATACTGACTCCGGAAGTACGTAAATAAGGCTGGAATGATGTGGTGGGCGGTCGAGCCTTTATAAGAGTAGTAGCATTCGTTGCGATTGGTCAATTTGCACTTTGGAAACGGTAATTAATCTCAACAGTAGAGTTCATAGTTCATTGGTAAAATAAGTAAATCTTGATTAAATACGAGTTAAATAATTGAAATAAAATAAATAAAATATATACAATATGTACATTACCATTTCCGTCGTGAAAAATATTTCGTGGTCTTTGTGTTTTTGAATTAGAGTGTTATCATAGTTATTGAGTTGTTGAATATTTTCGTTGGGATGACTATTGCAGCGGGAGAAGAAGTTATGGCTATGTTTAAGTATTTCACTATCTAATGGTTTGATGTTTAGGTCTCTATGGATTGCTGAGTTTCTTACATACCAAGGGGCGTCTATTAAAATTCTGAGTAATTTTTTGCATTCTTTGTAGGGATTGTCGATTATTTTCTTAGAGGTGGCTGCCCAGGCCGGTGCTGCGTAAAGAAGAATTGGGCGGATAGCCTGCAGATAAATGATGCGTTTTGGTGTTTAGATTTAGCGTTGAATTTCCTTCCGATTAAGGCATAATATAGCCATAAATGCCTGATAGGCTTTGTTCCGAATATTGATGATATGGTTACGGAAAGTTAGGTCGGTAGTCGATGTAAACTCCAAGGTATTTGATAATATTAGTTCTTGGGATGTTTTGTCCTTCAATTTGGATGTTTCCTATGTCTTTTCTAATGATTGTTCTTCTGAAAGTAAATGAGGCTGATTTGGAGGTATTAATTTTGATTTTCCAGGCTCTGAAGTATTGGGCTATTGTATTTGATACGTTCTTGAAGATTTTTCTGGCGTGAATCCGGATTCATAGACTTGCTGAGGAGTGCAGTGTCGTCTGCGTAGTCTTGCAATAATTGTTTTGGTGCAAGGAGGGATATCATTAATATAAAGGCTGAAAAGAATTGGAGAAGACGACCGAATCCTTGAGCTACACCTGCTTTTGAAATTCTAGTGGAAGAGAGGATATTTTTAATTCGAACTTGAAAAGAACGATTTCGTAGGAAATTAGAAAGAAGAATTATAAGGCTGGGTCTAAAGTTGTAGTTGATGAGTTTGATCAGCAATCCATCAATCCAAACCTTGTCAAAAGCTTTTTCGATGTCGAGGAATATACCAGCTACGGTTTCATTATTGTATTATTTTCCGGGTTTTTCTGGGTTTTCATATTATTATCCTTTTCTCTGATGTTAGCTGTGATGCTTGCGTAAGATTGGCTTTCAGTTGTGGGTTTCCTGGTATTTGATTGGTTCGCTGTGGTGGTAGTATTTTGAGTTTTGATCATGGCACTGGGTATTGTAGTTGAGTGTTCCTTAGTAACTCCTTCGGCTTGTTTGTTGTTAGGGTGTTCGGGGCATTTTAAATCACAGGCTGCGTAAGAGCCTTTGCATAGAACACAGATAGGGGAGATCTTTTTCCCTGCCGGATCATATGCTGCCGGATGAGAAAATGCTAAAGGTTGTTATCCATAGAGAATTTTAAAAAGAAAAGTTCTTTAACATGTTTGATTCATGCAAAAGGATTTAATTGCTGTGCTTTAACCAAAGCGGTTGCATTTGCTACCTATATAAAAGAAAGTGTGCAAGAAAAAGAGCTCATTTGTCATCAGAATGTCTCATCTGAAGGATGTGGATTATCTAAAACTATTAGGAAAAAGTCGAACAAAAGCAGCTGTACTGAAAAAGTGCCCGAATCATCTCATCAAATCAGTTTGTGAGTGTGTTTTAAATCTTCTAAAAGGAAACGTACCCATCACCAAACGCGTCAAGAATCGACTCGTCCCTTTTAAAAGAACTTTAAGGAAATTAGTGGACAAAAAAGTACCTCTTTTTAAGAAAAGACGTCTTTTGGTTCAAAAAGGTGACGGTTTTCTATCTTTCCTGATTCCTGCAGCAGTCAGTGTCTTATCCTCTCTTGTCCATGGAACACAGTAAGAAATTTGCCTTGGTACCGCTGGATCGTATGCACCAGTTTGAAGATGAACATTTGAGTGATTTAGATACCCAAATTCAAAACATCTTAAAAAAGAAAATGGACGATGAAGAAAAATCCAAATTGTACATCCAGGTTCTGAAAAAGTATGTTACATTTCCTCATGTGAACGCTTTTGAAGAACAACCGCCTGAACAACTTTCTGAGAAAGATATAGTAAAAGAAATTATGCAAACAGTTCCTGTGAAAGCAGAAAAGAACGGCACAGAAAATAATGGATTTTCTAAAAGAGCATCAGATTTCCTGGACACAGAATAAAGAACTCATTCTGGATGATCATGTGTTTTCTGGGCTCCTGACATTGTTCAAGTTGATAAACTTTCTGTTGAGAAATAGAACTCAAAAACCTTTTGCCTTTGAACAGTTTAAAAATGTACTGAATGTTAACAACTTTCCTCAAGACTTTGTCAAAAACAAACATTTAATGAATGTAAAAACTATGTATGCTAGACCTAAAAGAAAATCCTCTTCGCAGCTGTGGCTAAAATTGTAATGACATGTGTAATACTTTGAGATATGAATAAAAGTTAATTTCTGATTATTTGTGTTATGTTTTTCTTTCTAATTAAGCTAACATATAAAATCATTTTTTTTTCTGATTAAACTAATATATACATAATCATAACCATTATTTTCTAAAAAAAATATTTAAAAAAAACTTACCTTTCATGCCATTCTTTGAAAAAAAGAAAAACACCATAATTTTCAAACTTCTGTTTATTTTTTATCTAAATAAGTTTTTACACGCAAATACTGTGCATAACATCTTTTTACATACAAACATTTTTTGTACATACCATACATTTTTACAAAAGTTATTTTCAAAAGCCAAATGGTAAGGTGGTCAAGTCCTGTTGCATCACCCTTTTATCCAACACAATTCTGTACAGTTTTGTTTCCGGTTTATTCACCACCTTTCTTCTTTTTGGTTCTCGGGTGATTTTGCAGGGGTTGTGGAGAGAGATGATCTCACTTCGGTCGAGGCTGCAGACCAGACTTTTAATGGCTTCAAAATTCAGCAACTGGGAATTCCGGAAGTTCAATGAAAATCATCTGACTTTCCAGCAAGTTTTCCCAGTGGCCGTCTGGTATGCGTAGTTTTTCGGTCCTCCTGAAAAAATAAAACATCATGAGAAAAAAAAGAGATAATAGAAAAAACATTAAACATTTTTTTGGTACATATTAAATAAGGAACTTTTTAAAGGTGTCCTTACCTGACACGAAGGTTTTGATAACATCTCCATCCAGTTCGTCGGTAAATTCTCCTAAGAAGTTTCCTAAGGGGGGATCGTTGCAACCATTCGAGGCATAGATGATGAAATCTGTGTCGTGATACAGGACATCTCGACCCAGCTTCTCCATTTCACTATACAGCTTGAGACGAGCCCAAGCTGTTGTGAAGGTCGCTAGGAAAATGTTGGTCGAGGCATCCTGCGGCACAAACTCCTTTGAAGATTCCCAGGAAATGGCAGCCACCTCAGGCGTGGGAAGAAAGACATCTTTGATCTGAAAAATAGAAGAGTCATGAGGTAACAGTTCAAAATAGTTATAAGTTAACAGTTTGAAACACACTAAGCTTATAGATGGATAAAATCGGTAAGGAAACTTACTTTTTTAGTAGGATCCGCCAACATCTTATTAAAGTCTGGCAGCGTATGTACGTAGGTCAGTTGCGCTTTGTTGACGTTCATGCCCCATCTGAAACAAAATTCAACATAAATCACAAAGAATTAAAAATGTTTACAAAAAATTTAAGTCCAAAAGAAATCATATGATTTCTTGAAGAGATTCATTTATTTTTATTAACCAGTTATTTTATTGTTAATAAGCTTTTCTTTCTCGCTTTCCATTTTCCTGCCAGAATGCTAATTTCGAGTGTATTCGAATGAGGTAGAAAGCAGTAGTATTTAAAGGAAGAGGTTTTAGATGGTAGAATCAGAACAAAAAATGTACTTGAAGACCACATCACTAGTTGGTTCCCTTGGGAGCAGGTTATCTGCAGCATTGCATTTTTCTCGCCATTAGCTTGTCACGCCAATTTTAAGTCTGAGATAATTTGTACATTTTCTGTCAGCGTAGCCTTTGGGCTAACTAAAATTTACTTAGTTAAATTAATTTCGTTACTTTTGATTTATGCCGTAAATTCTTTTGATATATGGTGTCTCTCATCTATAAAAGAAAAGTGTAAACTTAAAATATATGAGAAGTGAACATGGGTCTCATGTTGGATAATATGAGACAGTCACAATTTCTGGTATTATTATGTGTAGGACTTTGGGTCCTACAAATAATAAAAGATAATTATTAAAAGCAAACACTGTCACCCAGATGGCACCAATGGGCCCGGGTTCGAATCCCGGAGGCGTAATAACGTTTTGTTGATCAATGTGCATGCTGAATGGTGTACTGTTGGCATGGGACGAAATATTGGTGACTAAGGGAAAGCAAAAGCAACCTTTACACAAGCATGTTTGTGAAGCATGTCTTATTGACCAATGTTTACAATTGCAGCATTACAGAAATTTATTTGTACTTATTGCATTTGCTTGTGTTTCATTTTGGTTTGACAATTATTTCATGCAAAATCAGAAATCTTTCCCTCCCTTCAATGATTATCTGTACATTAGCAATATTTTTTGGGGGGATTTATGCTATTATTGATGATGATGTAATCAATAGAGGAAACCTGAGTTTTGAATCCCATTCTACTCGTATATAATGATGTTCGGATGATAAGGTATCGATTAAACTAGTTTTTAAATACTTCAGTTACATGCCTTAAAATGAATAGATTGTATAATATGAATATTTTGAATGACAGTCTGTTAATAAACAATGACCAAAAAATAATATTCTCATGTCTTAATTCTGTATTCCACATGATGAAATCTACTCCATGCTATGATATTAGCAGCTGCAGCATAGAAAAGCAAAAACTTTGTGATCTTAACTTTGCAAATCATCAGTAACATTTTAAGAAAATTAGAAAAGCTGAAGATGAAATGGGCATGATTAAGACTATTTTAAATTTCTGCATAAACTCACTGTTTTAGTGATTCAGCATTGTAGTGATATTTTAAGTACTACAGAGTTATAAAAAAGCTCATTAAAATGTTACTTTTTTCTTTTTCTACTTGAACTAGTTATATCATCAATTTTATAAATAGCCCTCAAGGGCTCACTTTTGTGAGTACGGGTGTGGCAATCCCGAGGTACCCTAGCCCTTCAGGGGATCATCTTCTTGGTGAGACGGGTGTCACGATCCTGGAGCCCCAGTGATCTGTCCTCTTTTCCGTCTCCTCTCCTCTTTGCTGGAACTTTTTCCCTTCCTCTTCTCCCTCGTGGTTTCTCTCTACGGAGTTTGGGGCTCGTCACGAGAGACTGGAACAGACCTTGTCTCTAGTTCTTCGAGTGGCGAGAAAAACTGCCCACGTGTTTGCCGTGCGTGGAGACCCGTGTCGCTGGAAAGGAGGGTCCTGGTAGTTGAGGGGCGAGGTACTGTCCCCAACACACTGCTTTGGCCTCTGCTTCAGCTAAACGGGAGGCACCTTAGTCGTCCTCACGGGTGTCAATCGGCTGGTCACTAGTCCTTGTGTCAGTGGCTTGGGGTCAAGCTCTCGGGAGTACCTGCTTTCGGGAAAGCCGACTGTGGGGCTTCAGTTTGCGTATAGGTCCGGCTAGCCCTAACACAGGAATCTGTGTTCCCTTGTTGGGCTCCGTGGTGGGCGGGGCCGTCGGACCCGAATCTTTTCTTTCATATGGCTTCTCATATTTACTTAATAAAAGATTTCGAGGTAACTCCAGTCACTCAAGTCAATCCTTGTCATCAAGTCACTCAAATCACTCCATTCACTCAACCTAGTTCTGAAACTTCTACTCCTAAACCAGTCACTCAACCTAGTTCTGAAACATCTACTGTTAAACCAGTCATTCAACCTATTTCTGACACGTCTACTGCTAAACCACTCACTCAACCACTCACTCAACCTACTTCTGAAAAGTCTACTGCAAAAAAAATTACGTACAGATACAAATGAAAAAAATCATAACAATATTCCCCGTTTTCCTAGTCATCTCTAGTCCTTCTGGCGAAATGCATAAGATGTCTCCTTTCGTAATAAACAAATACATCCAGTCTTGTATTGGTGAGCCGAGAAATATAAAGCGTCTCCGCTCCGGAGACTTGCTTATTGATACAAACTCAGCCACCCAGTCTGCTTCTTTACTTCAGATAACTAAACTTGGGCAAGCGAATGTCACTGTAACAGCACATAAGACACTGAATTATTGTCGTGGTGTAATCTCAGAATTCGACCTTCTGTATGTTTCTGAAGAAGAGATCGCTTCTGAGCTATACGAACAAAATGTCTGCGGTGTAAGGCGGATCAAGATGCGTAAAGAAGGTAAGTTGATAGACACGAAACACGTGATCCTTACCTTCAACACGCCTGATCTGCCTAAGAATATTAAGGCCGGATATCTAAATATTCCTGTAAGACCTTATATTCCAAACCCTATGCGATGTTTCCAATGCCAGCGTTTCGGCCATTCTAAGACGTCCTTGTCGTGGCAGCCTCACATGCGCCCGATGCTCACAGATTGGCCACGATTCTGAAAATTGTACGCTGCGCTCTTTGTATAAATTGCAAGGGTGAGCACCCAGCATTTTCACGCCTCTGCCCAAAATGGAAATTGGAAAAAGAAGTGCAGACTGCAAAAGTTTACGAGGAACATCTCATATGCCGAAGCCAGAAGATTAGTCCAGAGCACACAGCTTCGACCAAATACATCATACGCCAGTGCTGTTAAAATCATCTCGTACAGTCGCCACCCAAACATCAATAGGCACACAGACCCTAGCAAATAAAACCCAATCCGTCTACATCCAAAACAAAAAAGAAAATGCAACCCATATAGTACAAAAAGAAAGAAACAGTTATTCAAAGTAAGCCCAAAACTTCTACACATAAAATATCAAATAAAAATAGAAGTCCAGCAATAGCTCTTTGATGAATGATTTCTGAATCTGCGGATTCAGACTTTATGGAAGTAGAAGAGGGTCTAGAAGTTCCCAGGCATCTACTTCCACGAAAAACAAAAAAGAACAGCACAGAAAAAACAAAAACCATTCATAATGGCCACCCTCGTGTCATGGAACTGTCGCGGTTTCCACCGAAATTTCCTTGACATCAAATCTATAATAAATGTGTATCATCCTGTGTGCTTAGCAATACAGGAAACAAATCTGAAACCAGAAACACATGCAAAACTTCGGAGGTTTTCTTTCGTCAGGAAGGATAACATTGCAGGTGAGCGTGCCAGTGGAGGTGTAGGTCTCCTCTCCTCACTGGATTATCCCTCAAATGTGCTTTCCTTTGACGACATCCCTCCAAGTTGTCGCTACTCAAATAAATTTTGATATTGTTGTTTCATTTGTTTCTTTGTATTTGCCTCCAAATGAGCACATTTGATCAGCAAGATTTAAATAATCTTTAATAGAGCAGCTGCCTGAGCCTTTTATCATAATAGGAGATTTTTAACGGCCATAGTCCACTCTGGGGTAGTAAAGATACAAATTGCCGAGGAAGACAAATTGAGCAGATGATCGAAGATCATAGCCTTTGTCTCCGAAATAATGGGCAAGATACGTACTTCCATGAGCCTTCAAGGACATTCCACGCTCTCGATCTTGCCATCTGTTCACCATCTCTGTTGCCATTTTGCACTTTTAGTGTCGGAAATGACCTGTACAACAGCGATCATTATCCCTATTTTGTGTCTCTTGCACGAAGAGGAGCAAACCCCATGTCGAGAGTCCCTCGTTTTATACTGGACAGGGCAGACTGGGAACTCTTCTCTTCCATTGCAGAGCTCACAGAGGAAATGGTAGAAGATGTGCATATCGATGACGCTGTTGAAGCTGTTACTAATACTATTATTCAGGCAGCTATGCTTTCGATTCCTAGAACATCAGGAAAAAACACTAAAATATTCGAAACCATGGTGGAATCGCGACTGTCATGAAGCACTGAAAAAACAGAAAAAAGCATGGGGTATTTTTCGTAGATATCCTACTCTGCGAAACCTCATAGCCTTTAAAAGAGCCAAAGCAAATGCACGGAAAGTAAGAAGGCAGAGCCAGAGGGATTCCTGGATTTCATATGTGTCCTCAATAACATCCTCTACGCCTAGTAAGCGGGTTTGGGAAAGAGTTCGAAAAGCATGCGGAATGTAAAGACCACTCACTTTCCTTTCTGGAAAAAGATGGCCGAGTGATTAGCTCCATAGAAGAAATTGCAAATACTATTGGTGAGACATTTGCTGCCGTTTCTTCCAGCCGAAATTACTCACCTGCATTTCTTTCTATCAAGCAACGCTCTGAAAAAAATCCCATCGCTTTCAACTCTTCCAAACTTTGAGCCGTACAATAGAGACTTTACTATGGTTGAATTAAAGAGAGCTTTGTTGCAGACACATAGGTCTTGTCCGGGTCTGGATGGCGTGTATTATGAAATGCTAAAGCATCTGTCCTATAAGTCACTGAGTGCCCTTCTCACACTTTACAATAGAGTGTGGAAGGAGCGTACATTTCCCAGTGCATGGAGGAGAGCTGTTGTCATTCCTATTGCGAAGCCAGGGAAAGACCCGAGGAATCCCTCGAACTATCGGCCAATTGCCCTTACCAGTTGTGTTTGCAAACTGTTTGAAAAGATGGTAAACAGCCGCCTAGTCTACTTCTTGGAAAAGAATGATATTATATCGCCTTATCAGAGTGGTTTTCGAAAGGGAAGAACAACTGTAGATAACATGCTCCTCTTAGAGACATCTATTCGAAAAGCATTTGTAAGAAGAAGCCACCTTGTCTCGATATTCTTCGACATTGAAAAAGCTTATGATAAGGCATGGAGATACGGTATACTCCGGGATCTTCACGAGAGTGGCTTGCGCGGCAACCTACCAATTTTCATTCAAAATTTCTTGAACACTAGAACTTTTCAAGTAAGGAATTGGCTCTGTTTTTTCGGATGTTTTTGAACAGGAAGAGGGTGTGCCTCAAGGCTGTGTGCTTCAGTGTAACCCTGTTTAGTTTAAAATAAATTCTGTACTAAAAGAACTTCCTCCCACCATCTTGGGATCTCTATATGTCGATGATCTGCAGATTAGCTGTCGAGGAGCAGACATGAGATACGTAGAGAGGCAATTGCAGATGGCTCTGATTAAGATCCAAGAATGGTCAGACAAACAGGGATTTACATTTTCGAAACAGAAAACTGTCTG